CCAAGCAGACCTGCCTGCCCAGAGCCGTTCGTATGCAGACGAGAAGACCCTTTATGCATATTATGGATATTTCTGGCTCTCGCTCAGAGTTAAATGCATTTTTAATAATTTCATTAGGAGCGAACGCTGAACGCTGAGCACTGGTCACTGGTCAGATGATATGCCATAATTTTAATGATCGCTTTATAGAGACATTCGCCCGAGAACCCTAGATACATTCCCATCCACATCCGATAAGAACGGGAAGAATTTATGCGTTCGTTTGGCATTGTCAGGGCCGTTTACCGTTGCACGTTGAACGTTGCATGTTGCATGTTGCATGGAGTGGCAAGGGGGACAGATAGCTTAATTGGAATTTATATTATCATCGCTGTGATCAATGTCTCTCTGGCTGTAGCCATGGCTGCGTCTCGTTCTGTGGCTCTTTGACCGATAGACATCTGGGCAGCCAGACATCTAAACCGCATAAATTTACCCATAATTTATGCACCTCAAACGATCTGAGCTTTTGGCTCTTGGCTTTACTCTGAAATACAAATTCTCGATAAGTTCCACAGCAATACCATTCTGAGAACTGAGACTGAAACTGAACTCTCCCAAAACGATCGCAATTAGCCCCATCTAACGAGCCTAATGACTTGGCAAACATCTCCATGGAACAGGCGGCCTGATCCTGTGCTCAAAATGGAATGTAATGGACTCATAAGCGATTATAGATATATCATACAAACTATATTAAGTCGGTTAGAGAGCTCAATGGCAGGGGTGGGGGAGAGAAACCTTATCGCCGGCATCGCATCTCTTAGAGATCTTTCCGTGGCGATAAGCAAACTCTGGAAATCAATTTTGCTGCGTTGTTGTACTTAATTAAAAACGAAACGGAGAAGAGGGGCCTGGCCGGGACTGGGCCTGGGCCTGGGCATGGTGCCCAAGGAGCTGCTGGCTGGCTGGCTGGCTGGCTGGCTGGCTGGTCCCAAGAAGGTACGAAGCGTGGAGGCCAGGCCAAGGAATTCCTTTGCATACAGAGCGTTCCTTTTCTGGCTGAAAACTCAATTTGCCAGGTGTGTGCGTGTATCTGTGTGTCTGCATGCATCTGTGTGTCTGTGTGTGTGTGTGTGTGTGTGTGTGTGTGTGTGTGTGTTAGCCGATAAGCGAGCTCAATTAGTAGCCCAAGGCACCTGTAGCCATCTTTCGAGTGTGTGTGGCTGTGGCTGGGAATTCCTTAACTAATTTCTCTCTCTCTCTCTTCTCTATTTCTCTATGCGACCTCGCTCTCCGCCCCGCCTCAGATAAATCAAAATTCCTTTTGAACATTGTGTGGGGTCCCGGTCCCATGCCACAGCCAATCAATGAATTCACGTATCGCTTTTTGTTGTCTCTTTTTTTATTGAGTCTGTTTTTTTTTTTTTTTGTTAGTTTTGGTTAGTGTCCTTTGTGGAGGACTCTTTTGGCCGACTATTAATCAATTTGGTCAATATATTACCCATTTCGTGACTTGTTTGCGGCTGTATATCAAAACACTCACCTAAATCATATTTTATCAATTGCTGCCAAAGGTCAAAGGTGAGTATTTATAAAACATTTTCAGAAATATTTTATTTTGATCAGGCTAATGAGCTAAACAGACAAACAAATGTGTGATTTATGGGAATTCTACTTGAATACGAAATGCATTTCGAGTGGAAGTCATAAGAGTCTTGGCAGCTATTTATTTATAATTTATTTTGAGGTATTTAATTATTTCTAGTTAAACACTTTTGCTAACTCCATTCTCTGTAATTTAAATATATTTGGCCCGTTCATTTTGCCATGCTACAGAGCCCATTTATTCCCATTTCACCTTCAACTTAAGCCAGAGGCAGAGGCCAGAGGCCCGACCGCATTTATAACACTTGGGTCTTTCCTTCTCAAGGTTGACATGGGCGGGAAATGGCCACTAAATCACAGGCATGCATGCGGCGTCGCCTCCAAGTATGCAATTCTAAGCTGCAGCATGCAAAACGGAAAAATTCCAGCGAAAAATGTGCACTAATAATTTCCGAAAAGGTCGGCGACGATTTACGAGCGGCCCCATTATAAATTTCCCTCATTCAACCTCGTTCTGTGGCGAATTTAAATCAATTTTAAATAGCAACCAAAAAGCGTACTGCCTGCCATATGGCCATAATTTGGCATGTAATTTTTTGCCCATAATTTACTGTCAACCACGGGCGTGTGTGTGTGTGTGTGTGTGTATCCTTTGGGCCTGGTTCTACCTGGATATGCGCACCCTGTGGCACACTTTCACCTTTCTCTGGCTTTGGACCTTTCCTTCTCTCCCTTTGGTTACCGCAATTTGCCGCCTTAATGCAGTTTGCCCATTGTCCATTGTCTTTGCTCTAATTTGTGTGGCATTGTTGCAACAGCAGCTGATGCTGATGCCATTGCCTCTGCTTTCACGTGGCCTTGGCACGGGTCCAGGCGCACGTCCAGGGTTCGCATTAGGATGTCGATGGCGGGGGCGTGTGCGAGGCTTTTAATTGCACTGCAGCTGCGGTTGCCCATTAGTCGCTATGAATCAGCTTTGGTGTGACTCACAGCCATCCCCCATTCCCATTCCCAATTCCAATCCCAAATAGAGACCCGCATTTCCAACTAAAAATCATCAATGAACTAAATTTACATATCACAAACGATAGGCGTATGGAGAGAGAGAGAGAGAGAGAGAGAGACGGAGAGAGAGAGGTTGCAGGGAAAATGTTCTTTATCTCTAGGCGCCGTTTGAAGTTCATTTTGAACGCATTACCTGGCAATCGACTGAGAAAATGTGCCTCATGATTCCGTTTCCATGTCTATGTCTATGCCTCTGTCTCCATGTCTCTCCTTTCTCATCTGCTTCCCATTATTCTGCTTCATCTGATTCCCTTTCTTCACCTCCTCTTCGCTGATGTTGATGCAGCACTAACGGACGCCAAAAACATTTAGTGATGGCTTTGGTTATGGATCTGCGGCATTGCGGCAACCACTTGAGATCCATGGGCCATCGAGACGAGTGCGGGATCGGGTAAATGTCTGTTTTGGATTGGATTATTCCTGGCACGGGCTACGTTTTTGATACATTTCAAGGCGCATTCAATTCAAATAATTCATTCTACACATAAACAATCCATTCAATTGATCATCGATCACTTGAAGGCAGATAAACCGATTGCACTGAAATAGGAAAGAACCATGAGACATTTTTGCAATTCGTTAAATGTTTTGGGGACCAAACACCAAACAAGGTTTTAAAGTCTTCAGTTTAAGATTTCAGTGGCTTAAGTTTAAACCAATTTCAGGGCTGCTTAACTCACTTGTTGAACCCGCCCCACCATGTGGCAAGCACAATCGAAACGGCTACCAGTTGACAGCATTCAGACATCAGACATCAGACAGCTACGAGTGGCGTATCCTCGAGAGCACCCTTGGGAGAAGCATTCTCATGAGCCATTCGACATTCGTATTCAGCCCTGTCGATGCTGTCGATTGATTGATACGCCCACTCCAGGTCCTCCACCTAATTGGATCCTTAGCGCTGACACGTTTCGGCCATTGACAAGTACGCGTTTCAATTTGGCAAAAACAAATGACTGGCAATTAGACAAGTGCTGACTGACTGAATGGCTGATGCTGGCACTTTCAATTCATTCTGTCTGTCTGTCAATCGCACGTGACTTTCCACGCAAAAGAAGGCGGAGTGGAGAGGAGAGGAGCGGAGCGGAGCGGAGCTGGAATATATATTTCATATTTATAGAGCTGTCATATGGCAAACGGAATTGCCAATTCACAACAAAACAAAATCACAATCACGTGCTGCAGTTGTCCAATGTTTTGGGTTTCAGTTTCAGTTGGCACAAAGGGATTGGGATGCCTGTGTGGCATTGGCTTATGGTGCCCTGCTGCCGTTCTTTATACACAAGTGTCATAATTCATATGAAATTGATGTCAGTTTTTGGGTGAAATGGTGTCCTGGCTTATTGACTGCGCCAGGATTAAGTGACAGTTGTGATTTTGACATGTCGCACAATGGAAAGGTGAAAAATACGAGCAAAGCGATGAAGTCCATCTGCTGATGCCTTTTATGGAGGGAGTTGACGCTTCCACACCCATTCTTGAAAACAATCCGAAGTGCACAACTTTCTGCTAATCAAACTATTCTCAAAAAACAAAGTGGAAGTTATCATGGGCTTCTTCTTCCTTTCGGCTTGCAAAACTTTTACCAACTCCGTGATAACAATGGAGCCAGCCGAACCCCTGGAAAACTTTCCTTTTCTCACAAAGGCGCTGCTGGTAAATGATTTATTTGTGTGCCATAAAGTTCTGCCAACTGCCTCCGACCTAAGCAGCAATATAAAATCCCCCTTCTACATGCCAACCAGCTGGGGCAAGTCAATGATAAGCGAATAAGTTAACAGAAGTAAGTCGAGTTTATCAAACCGCACTCACACACATGTCAGGAGCAGACAATCCGTAGAGAACTTTAATGCGGAGCAGAGATCGAAGCGAATATGGCGGAGCACGAATCCTTGTTAAATTTTGCCCACACAATGGTTTTCCTCTGCGACACCATTATTTCCCATTTTCCAGTTCCATTTGCACTTTAAGCCCCGTGGAAAAACCCTCCTGCAGAGGCGGTGCAAATGGAAAATGGCTTCCCTTTGGTGGAGGTGGCAAATGAATTGCAATTTCCCTTTCTTTTGGCCAAGGCCAAGACGGAGAGAGAGTGGGTGGCTCCTGACTTTTGCCGGCACCTCTGGGTGCGATAATTCAATGAAGTTTCAACAACATTTTCGCACCACATGCACTGCACCTCGGTCTTCCCAGTTGTTGCATGCTAAAATGTGCTCCATTCCCATCACTTTTAGAGGCACTTTTCCTGCGTCTTCAGTTTATTCTGCTTGTGCTGCTGCCTTGTGTTGCTTGTGGCAAATGCGTCGCCATGAAATTTTAATCAAGTTTTTGCTTCCGTTTCTACTATTTTGCTCGTTTTTTTTTTTGTCTCCCCCAAGTAAATGGCAGACATGTCTGCCGGGTAGCATTTCCGCCGATAAGGGGGAGCGGCAAGGGGGAATGTATCAGGTGGGTGTGTTCAGGGTAATTTTTGGTAAAGCCATAACGGGGTTCAACGAACTTTGGAATTCATTTGAGGCATATCCAGAAGGTCATAAAATTGTTTAGCGCTCAAAGAACATCTCTCATACGAGGGAGTCTCTATTACAGATAGATCCCACAGGTTCCATAAAAGTAAACAAAATGTAATCGATGTGCTGAACCAGTCCAAAAGCTGATGCCATAACCGTGTACTTCAGAGCTGTTAGCCCTCCAGCCCTCTTCAGAAGCTTGTGCCAAGTCATTCCATTCAGATAACGTAATAAAATTACAGAATAAATTATCGCATTCCACATTCCAGCCGTAGCTACAATCACTGATTAATTCAATATGTAACAGCATTTGGTGAACGATTTCATTTTACTTCTCGTATTGGCCAGCTAATCCCCAAACCCTCCAGCAGATTAAACCCTCGACTAAGTAATGTCTTTCTTGTTGAAATCATTCAATCAAGGGTCGCCGTCGCCTGCCAAAAGGGACAAAAGAAGGCACAAAAGTTGTGCAAAACATTTGCTTTATGTGCAAAAGTTTTTGGCAGCAAATTGGCTGCGGGTACCCGTAATTGAAAGCAAATCCAGGACCGAACTCACGGACTCATAAATAATACAATGCCAAACGGGATAGAGGATAGAGGAGCAGAGGCGACAAATGGCGAGGCTCGGCTCGGCTCGGTTCAGGCTGATGCCAGCTACCAGATAATTGCCGCCAATCAAAGCTTATTGAAACGTGACACAAGAACCTAAGCCGGGAGCAAGTCCCAACCGATTCGAGCAGCTGCTGGCATGCGGGAGGAGAAGCATCCACTCCATCCTTTGCACCATCCTTGCCTCATCCATCCATCCACCCACCCAGACCGACCTCAATTCTTTTTGTCTGCCAGACACCGAGTCGCCTACACAAAAACTTTTCATGCCCGACAGCAACGAAACCCAACAGAAAAAGTTACACAAAATTCTCTGAATGAACAGAAATAAGTTTGTCCCGTACCAGAGTTGTATTTTTAGTAGCCAGACTTTTCGGGCTCACTGTTTGGTTGGGGTGGGGGGGGGTGGGGTGGGTAGGACATCGAAATAAATCTGTCAGCTGGGGGGCAAAGTTGTGTCACTTTTATGGCGGGGGCTATGCTGCTCCTGCCATTTACGAGTTCTTTCAAGTTCACAGCAGGCACGCAAAATTATCATCCCATTTATGGCTGAATCCTTAGTCCTTGACTAAAAATAGAATGGATACTCGGCGCGGTCCTCGCCAGCTAAAACTAGCAAAGCGATGCGAGCAAGGAAGAGGCGGCCTCAAGTTGACCTCAAACAAAAATTTTGAATACATAATGCATAATCGAGCAGAAGAGTGACAGTGACGCCAGCCTTGGCTCAGGCCAGTGTCTGCGTCCATGACGTAGTTCCAGGCGTAGTCCGTTGGCGTCAAAGTGATTGCCGCTGGCTGTTTGCTGTGCTCTTCTTCTATTAAATGATCCAACTGGCAATGCATTGCGTAAGACACTTTCCCATGGCGCTGCGTGTCGTAAAATTCTGGCCCGCAACCAGGCGCCAGTACACCTTCCCACCCAAAAAAAAAGAAAAGTTGATGGACCTGCGTCCTTGTGGCTGCCTCCATTTGTGGCCAGGGACAGACCCACTGGCGCTTGTGGCATTTGATTGCGGCAATTGTAGGCGTTTAGTGGGTCAGTGGATTCGAATGTGGGTGATATCGTAGTGGGGTGTTAGGAGAGGATATTTTTATAGGTAAATTAAATAGTTTCTGTAAGTATTCATTAAAATTGGAGGGCTTATAATGGTTAGTGGTTTTCTTTTTCCTTATCTTTAATTTATTTATGAACTGAAAGCCCTGAAATAATGTTATATTTAGACAACGGTTATACATAGAACATAGTACTATCTATGTACCTTCAAAATTCCCAATATCAAAATTCTACTGTTCTATTCAAAGTCCATCAATATTACCCATCAATCGATGGGAGATCCACAAAACAAAGTCAATTCAATTAGGCAGTCTAGCGGTTGATTCCCTAATTGATGGCTGTTTATGCGGGTCGGAACCCTTTTGAGTCATGATCGTGCCCATTACCCGAAACTTCCATTCATTGCCTGTTCGAATTGGACCAAAACTCGGTCTCAGCCCCCACCACCGGCCAATGCAATTAGACTCTAATAAGACGCAAAACACTAACGCCAGGCGATGCATAAGATAGTCGTACTCGTGGTACGAGTGGTAATAGTCAAAAAAAAAAACAGAAGAAGAAAACCAGAAAACGAGAGATTACGATGCAGGGGATGGGCGGACAGGGGCAGCAGGAGGGGGCATCGCATCGATTCAGGCAGGCAGGCAGGCAGGCAGGCAGAAAGATGAAAAGAACATGAATGCGCAGCGGGCCCAGAGCCCAAAGCCGAAAGAACGTTGTGGAAACCAGTGGAAACAAGCGGCAAGAACAACAGCAACCACTGGGCCACAGATAGCCATCTAGTTAGCCAACAAATTGCATAGACAGTAAAGTGGAAATCTAACACACTCGGCTGCCCGCTTCCCGCTCCCCATACCGTGCACCCCACACCCCACACCTCGGGCAGAGAGCTGCTCCTGGAGCTGGAGTGGCCATGAAAATGGTGAGAAATTTTCACAAATTGCGGCAGGCGATTCATTTCGCATTGCCGCGCAGTCAAAGATCCTGGAGACTGGAACGCCGAGTGGAACTGGTGGGGGGGGGGGATGAGGCACGGATGGACCGGGCTAATCCAGACGCAGGCGGCCGCTTTGCTGGATATGATTAGGAATTTAAATGCTTTTGAATTATTAAATTAGTAAATATGCAACGCCCGGCGAGAGGCGAGATCCGATCCCAGATCGGACCGAACCGAACCGAACCCAACCAGCCAAAAGCTGTTGCAGGTGCAGCTGCCTTGCTTCTGATGCTGCGACTGGGACTGCTGCTGCTGCTGCTGCTGCCACAGAAACCCATGCAGTCAGGCTCCAAAACCAGTTAAAAGTCCATTAAAACGCCAGAGAGAAAAAGAGTTTGCCTGCAGCCAGAACGGGTGCACAGTGGGTCAAAGATTGTTAAGAAATTGAAATAAATTTAGCTAGATTAACAAAAACAAATCGATGCCAAGTAAACTTGTGCAGATAGCCCCATTCTTCCCGCAATTTTAGAAGAGTTCTTAAATTTGAGTGGGATCACACCAAAAGCATAAAATAAAGCCAGGAATTAAGAATCTTCCAATTAAGTTTCACTCCCCTGCGGAGAACATTTTGACGGCAACTTTGTAGCATTGATATTTGGATTTTTGTGGGACACTGTGCTTCGTCCGTGGTCTGTCTGCTCCCGCAGCTCGTTTTGTTCTTGTTCGATCTTGTGGCTGTTGCCTGTTGCTTTTGTTGTAATTACACGCCGCCCAGTACGCCCGCCCCAGTCGCCGTCTCCCATCGCATCGCCGATCGCCGCTCGATCGCCGATCGCCGCCGCTGCGTGTAATCGAATCTATCAATCTATGAGATAAATCTTATTTTCTAATCTTGTTATCGTGCGCGCGCCGCCATCGACGGCCTTTGGATCGCACACTCCCCAGTGGACGAAGACTGGGGACTCGACTCCGACTCCGACTGGGACTCAGACTGGGACTGGGACTGGGACTGGGTCTTGCCTCACTTTTAGCTGGAGGTTTTTGTTTTTGGCCAACGCCAAGACTTTGGCTGGACCGTAAATATTGCACAGCATTTCCGCCCCGGCCACAAAACACTTGTGCATAAATTGGTCTAAGTGGACAGCCGGCCGGTCTGGGCTGGGGCTCTTTAAGCGCTTTAAGTCGCTTTCAGTTATGCTCGATTAGAACAGCTGCTCAAAACTATGTTCGAAACGGGTGGGCGAATAGAACAGACTCCAGAATGTGTCCATTTTGCGCCCTCTAACCCGAGACTCACCCCGTTTCAGTGGCCCTAAGTAAGCAATCAGAAGTCAGTGGCTAATAACTTGGACTCCCCTTCAGGCAGTGCCCATCCCAAATGACAGTTCTTACTTACAGTTTCTTCGACTAAATATAAACAAAACCTATTTATAGCCCATCGAGTGCAGCAAAAAGCAATTAAGCTCGGGATTAATTTACGCGCTCTTGAAACATTCAACGAAAATATTGAGAAACTTAAATAAAGGAGCCAGCCCCATACACTAGAGGACCAGAAGCTCGAAAGAATGGAGTCGTAGCCAACGACTAGCGCCCCTTTATAGGACTCCGTCGGTGGCTGTTCGTTGAGCTGCACAAGTGGAAGCCAAAGTGGAAGAAGTGGAGTGGACATGGGCATTGATTGAAAAAGATGAAAAGTGCCTGAAATGCCATGCACTATTGGCAGCTGGGAATGGACTCGACTCTACTTCTGCTTCTTCATTGCGGACAGCAGACAGCGGCCAGCAGGCCAGCAGGCCAGCCGGCAGACGAACAGACGGACAGAACCAGTGTCAGAATCCGAATCAGAATCAGAGGTACGAGTCGACGAGGTAGGCAATATTTAAACTAAAATGAACAAAAGATGCAAAGCGAAGCCGACACAATCTGTCGATGTCGATAATGATGATGAAGATCGTAATGAGGTTTTGCCAAGGAATGGAAATGGGTATGGGAATGGGGTCCAAGAATGGGTGCACCACTGTGGTCAGCGCCAGTGTCGGTGCCAGTGCCAGGTTTTTAGGAACGCGTTGTAGCGTGGCATGTTTACTTAACGAATCCCAAAACCCCAGTCCACAGTCCACAGTCCCCAGTGCCCAGTCCAGTTCCCCCTTTCAGTTCAGTCCCATGTAAAAGGCACTTGAGCAATGGTCAGCCTCCACAGTGGATGTGATGGGACAAACAGACGGACGGACAGACAGACCAACTGACTTCTGAGGTCAAGTGTAGTTTTTAATTTTTTGTTTCAATATGCATTCTCCCCCTCAGATTGTTCTCGTTGCTCTCTGGCTTGTATATTTTTGAATTATGTGAGGAAGTCGCTGCTGTCTGCGGAGCCCTCAGGGTTAAGAGGAGGTGAGCAGCCCAAGTGGAGTTTGAGCTGTGGATTCCAGTTGCTTCAAGGATACTACTGCTCCCAGACGATGTTTTGTTCTTCTTTCGCAGGAGACATCTGGAAAAAAGGTACCTCAGGTCTTAGAGCTTTTTCTAAGCAACAAAGCACTAAAGCAGGCTAAACCTGGCCAAGTCGGGTCCAAACTGTAACATAAATCAAATGTCGCCCAATCCGAGCGCCGTGTGCTGTCACTCATTCGCAAGGCTTTGAGGTGGGCATAAAAATCGCTTCCTCATAAAAATTCCGCTAAAAATATTTGCTGCATGGCGGAGATGAAGAAGTTTCAGACAGACTCTTCTTGGACCTAAAACCGACACCTTTCGCGACTGCAGAATGTTGTTAAACAATGAAAATGCCTCAACTGCAGTAGAATGAATGCCGTCTGCGAGAGGGTCTGGGTCTCTGGCTGGAAATGCCAATAAACTGTTGTTTATTTTTACTAGCGTCGCGTTGGCGGTAACGTCGCAGCAGCAGCGCATAAATACGAGTACATCCATCACTGGAAGGCTCCAACTTCAAGTCCAAGTCCCCGAGTCTCAGAGTCCCGGAGTCATCGGGCTTGTCGTCGGCAATTTATCTTTGAAATCAGCGCCTATATACATGTGTATGTATGTACGTATATCTCCCTCATGTTCACTCTTTTCGACTGTTTTTTCTTCTCTCTTGTAATTAGATACGCGTCTCAACCCACACTGCAGTTGGCGATGGTGGTGGAGAGTTGGAAGAGGAAGAGGAAGAGGCAAACCCCACCAATAACATTGGCAACAGGTGAGCAATCTCGTTTGTTCTGTTCGTTGTTCGTTGTTCGCTGTGGGCGTGGCAGTGGAATTAAGCCATATAGAAATCTGCAACTGCAACGAGTCCGATTGTTTGCACCCACTTTTCCTTCGGCACCGAACCAAAGG